TCCTCGGCAGCGTTGGCTGTAGAAGTGACTCTTGCACCGCCGCAGCTCCGTCGGAAGGGAGGTCTCCGTGTTCCTCTTGTCCTGTCCTGCTTGGCTTTTTGGCGATCTGAGTTTTGTTTCTTCTGCAGCGTAGTAGTTCAAACACTTCTGCAGGTCTCCGAGGGAGCAGTTGGGTTTCCCAGAGCCTCAAGTTCAGGAAGCCCGGAGCGGTGCCTCCTTGCTTCGGAACAGGGTCTGGAGAGAATTAGGCGCAGTCACATGTCTGGGGTTTTTTTCACAATGAAAAAGTGGCGTCTCAGTGTTGTTTTCATCTAAAAAGCCCGTAAAAATCGTGTATTTTACAGTCAATTTTTACAGTCCAGGGTGCAGTTCAGGTTGCTTTGGTTCTTTTAACAAGTTGTTTGTCATTTAAAAAAAAATCTTCAGCATGTGAGATCATGCATTCTAATGGCAAAAATCAGTTCGTTATCAGCTGTCTTCACTGTAGTTCCTTGGAAGCTGATGTGCTGGGTGTGTTAAAATAGTTGTTACTTTCATGTAGAAATGTTAGTATAACACATAAATCTTCATTATCCATTACCTCTTGAAGACGGCGCATGATCTGTTTACCCTGTCTCCTGTTGAAACTGTGAAAGCTTCTGAAAATGGTTTTACATTTTTGCCTGGCTGGCAGCAAGTGGCCTCTCTGTCTGCAGGCTGCTTCTCTGCTCCTGCCTAAAATGATATGTAGCTGTGCTTCTTGAGTGATTCTGTTTGAATAAGTTGCTTTGTGAAAACATGCAAAGAGTTCGTATGGAAAATGCTGCTTTGGAAAATGACCTAGAGGTTTTACTGGTGCTGCTTAATTTTTTCCTCTTATTGCGTAGGAATTATCCTGTTCCATGTAAAAAGTCATTTTTATGACAGGCTTTAGTGCCTGTTCTTCAGGAAGTGAGAAAAGTTTTAGCCCTCTGCTTAAGGTTGGTGTAGGACAAGAGGATGAAGCTTAAGAAACGATCATTTATCGAGGGGTGTGTGTGTGAACTGGGAGTATATTGCACTTTTCTTGAATAAAAATTCTTAAATACTGTTGGTGCTTGTTTCTTGTGGTGTTTGTTATCAAAGGAGTTACAACAATATCCCAGGAATCAGTAATTCTTAGCAAATAAAAAGCTCTTCCTGCTGGAAAACTTTAAAAGCTCTCCCCTGCTAAGGCTGCTCTATGTAAAACATTTCCTGTGCGGGAGGCCCGCGGGAGGAACAGGAAGTACGAGCAGTTGCTCTGGGGTAAGTTCGAGAGTTTTGGGAACTTGGGAGGTTCCCTGTTCTTATGCTTTGCTGGAAATCAATTTAAGGTTATGAAAATCACTGGGTTAACATATGTATTTTAACTGAAGAAATGTGTTCTCATGGAACATTCAGTCGATCCGACAGAATCCTTACGATTCTTTAAACTGATCGGTGCAGATGGGTTTAATTAGTTCATTACTGCTGGCCCTGGATGTGCAGCAAAGCCCATCTGTCTTCGGGGGTGACCAGACACCAGGGGATTGCGGAGCCCGGCATCCTCCTACAGAGCATTCTTGAAGCAGCTCGCTGGAAAAAGGAGCTATCGCGTGGCTTCCTGGCAGGAGCCATCGGCCCAGGCTGCAGCTCCAGCTGTAAACTGCTGGGTTATGATGACATGGCAGGTCGGGTTGGAGGAGGAAGTATGAGGAGCTGAGCTGGCTTAAACTTGTGTTACGGCTTATTTCTGGAGCTGGTGAAACATGGATGCCTTAATGAGATGGAGCAGTGTTTAATTCCCTGAGAAGTGCTGGATTGTTGCAGGAGGGCAGGGAAGGGAGAACTAGCAAACGCACTCTCTAGCACTAAATCACTGTGTGGAGTTATTCAGAGTACTTCAGATTTGATGTTGCTGTGCTGAGGATGGCTGCCCTGCCTTCGGCTGCTCTGCCGTGTTTCCTTAAAGTTGCTGCCGGTCTGTTGGTCTGTTAGCCAGCCACTGGTGGGTCCTTGGCTCCGAAGATGGGTTGGAACGGGCGGTGTTGCCTATCAACCTAAAGGGATCATTGCTGCTCTTGGGTTTACATTGCTGCTTTACAGTGGTTTGGAGTTTATAAAAATATATGTAATCTTGAGTGGAAGGGTATAACTGCAATCCTTAGAGCATGTGGAGCACTCCCACAAAAAGTGTAAGCTGTAGGTGCTGTACTCCAGAGGATTACCCGGGTACACCATGCCGGGCCGCAGACAAGTCCTTCTGATTCCATCGGTGAAATAAGCTGCTCTGAGTAGATGTGTGCTGTGATACATGATGCTCGCTGCTGATGAGAGCTACCACAAGTTGCTGGAGGTGCAGTTAACGCTGGTTTTCGTGCTGGTCCGTTACTCGAGAAGTCTCAAGAGATTTAAGCATGTGTGGTAGGGTTCAATAATTTTTTTTTCTTCAGATCTGTGTTGGGGAAAAGTGCTATTTGTTTTCCTCAGTAGAAGGGAATTGAAGGAGGAGTGTTGTGCCCAGGCGTGCCCCGCTCTGGGAGCTGCCTGGACCTCTCGCTGCTCTGTCAGCCTGGCACGGCTCCAGCGGCCGTGGCGTGGCCGGGGGGCTGCCGCCAGCCCTGC